GCCAATTCATGGCTTTCTCTCTTCCTCTCTCACCCCAATCACCAATTCTTGTGTTAAAGACACTATCAGATCCGTATAATATGTTCCCTTGGCCAAACAAGAATCCAATTTCAGCTATTTCTATGTAAAGTTATGGAATTAAACAAATAAATCATGCATTTGGTCATCACTCATGACCCAAATCAGCTTGCTTTACTATTTTTTCTCAAGATTCATCCGTCCTTGTGTAGAAAAAAGACAAGAGTCTTTCGTGGTCTTATAACCATCTCTTCTATCATTTATTTATGGACTTTTCCCGCGCCTTCCCGAGTGAGAGTTGGGCTGGGTGCTGTAACCAACAATAGGTCAACACAAAAAAAAAAAAAGAAAAAAAAAAGAAATGGATTAAATAGTTGTATCTAATTTTTAAGAAATGGACTAAAACTATGATTTTAAAAAATGACTCAGAAACGGAATTGTTATGGCCATTGGTTTTTTGGTCAATGATTCAACTATTCGATTTGAACAGACAACCTGTTTTGATAATAAAAATTAAAAAAAAATAATTAAAAATAAAAACAGTCAAAACCGTTGAACTGATGGGTCAACAGTTCGACCGCTTGGACCAACGATTCATTGACCAATTCAATAATTTTTTTTCAGGGACCAAGTTTGGGGTAAAATGGAATCAATTGCCTAGACAGTTCCCAGGCTGAATGGTCCGACCGTCTGAATCAACGGTGGTTCAAAAACCATGACTAAAACTACCTCCACTTATAAATACAAATAGGTAGAGCACAAAACCTTATATTTTGTATAGATGTGTACTGTACATATCTGTATTTGTACTCCTTCCAAACTAAGCCTTAAAGTATTCTCAGGTTTTCTGACAATTGATTAAGTATATGTTTGGCATCGATGCTACAGATACACCATTTTCTGAGAAAACAGTGCTACTGATGTCTGGGTTGGAAGCACCGTTTTTTGAGAAATAGTGTCTTTTTTTTGTTTGGAAACGTTGCTACCAGGTAGGACGTTTCCTGGAGCAACAACAACGTTTTCTGTTTGGTACCAATGCTCCAGGAAATGTTTTCAGCACTGGTACCTATTATATAGTGCCACATCATGTCCCTATCACTGCCACCTCATGTCCCTGTTGGCTTAAGGGATGAGAGATCCATCATATATATGGCTGAACCCTATAGGAAGGTTGGGCGAAATTTCAAAAATTTCTCTCTCTCCCATGTGGGAATCACATTCCCTATTTTAGAAAGCTGCATTTTCAATGATCAATTTTGAACCTAAACCGGACCAAATCTGAAACCAAAAAGGGAGTGGAGGGTTATACCTGATACGAAGTAACAATAACCTCCAATGAAGGTGTTCACGCCCAAGGAAAGGTCCAAAGACTGCTTCCACCGAATATGACACGGTGCAGGATGAAGCAGAATCAACAGGATGGCTCTTCAGCAAGAACCTAATTCTTCAGCAAGAATCTGATGGAGGGCTAATGAGCACGACTTCTGATTACCTTTTCTGCCAAAAGGTAATATCAAGAACACTTCTTGATTGCTCCCACAGGTGGAGATCGAACTGGTATGGCGGTAAGAGCAGGGAAGAGCAGAAGACAGGAGCAGTCGAACTGCAGGTTCTTCTCTCTTTGTAATCTCTGAACTGAGAATTTTGTATATGGAGGTTCTCCCTACTCCTCTATTTATAGCCTTTAAAGAGAGCATCTCCTAATCCCATTAGGAGTTTCCTAACCCAAATCTTTTATTTGGATCTAGACTCTCTTTAAGAGATAAAGATAATCTCTTATCTTATCTGCGGATAAAGATCAGTCTTCCTAATCAAATTAGGAGTTTCCTGATCCAAATCTTTATTTGGATATGGACTCCCTGAGTGGATAGGGATAATCCCTTACCCTATCTGCTAATCTAAATCCCCATAACCGCCCCTTTTTAATTAATCTCATTAAGCCAGTTCGAATTGGGCTTTAGGCCCATTAAGTCCATCGGCTCACTTACCCTCCAAACTACTGCCCAGTTGGATATCCTTGTATGGCATGGGACCCAAACATTGATCTACACATCAGCCACATGGGTTCAGCCTTACCTCTGTTACAAGGCCTGGCCGAATTCACTGTAGGAGACAGTGAACCCCTGAGTCCATCACCATGTGCTCTTAATGGGCCCAACATTTACACTAAATGGTCCTTGGGTCAAGCCACCTTATAAAAAACCCAAGGACTGTGGACATATGCAAGATTAGCCCATCAGGTATTACCCTCAATGGTCTTACACTTAGCCTCTCAGCCCATAATGATCAAACACTACTCGACAAGAGAGGACCTCTCCCTCGGCTGCAAGGTACAGTACTGCACTCTCTACTCACATGGATCATGAGAATTAAAACCTTTTGCAAACATTTTGAAATCATAATATATATATACGTATATCTCTATATAAATATATTTTGCAAAACAAATTTCAACAGTTGAAATCGACTACCGACAGTTTTGGTTTCCACCAGAGAGAGTGCACCCCTGATCATTCACTTTGTCCAACAAAGGGGCTGATCCTGTCACTATGATCACCCACTCAGATGAATTTTTGAACTATCCCAACATACCCAGGTTTTGACCCCCTTTAAGGATCTCACTGATTGGCATATCAAAGACAGCCCAATCTAACACCTAGTGTAGTATCATAATTGAGTTTAGGGGTTAGGTGTAACATTCCAGTTTTGCCCATCTATCTCCAAAGTCCAGGGCAATACTGGAATTCTGGTCCGATTCAGGGTTTCAAGAAAACCCACACTGTATGTACCTCAGGTCTCACCCTGGCAGCTGAGACAAACCACTCCAACCAACTTGGCGGCACATTAGTGTTAGCCTTGGCAGGATAAATCTCCCCAGATATATCCAACGACTGTGAAGATTCTAAACTAACACGAGTCTCATAAGTGTCCAGTTTAAGGGTATTACACAAAAACACACCATAATAACATGAATCAAATATGTACATTATTTATTTACATTAAATGTCATAATGTACTTCATTTTGATTGGAGCTAAGGGCATACACTGTCTAACATTGGCAACAACAAGCTGCAACTCCAGGAAACTTCAAAGTTGGCATTGCTCCAATCCACGCCTTCCCGATTTCCAAGGCATGGCTTTTTATGGAAAAACGGTTTTAAACAAACATTTGCTAGAGCACTGTTCTTTTTGACGTGGCGATGATGTGTCACCGTTTTCTAGAGCAATGACATCAATGCCAAACAAACACTAACTCTACCCTTATTGCAAAATCCCTCGTGTGATTGCATGTAGTGTAACATTTCAAAATCCAATTTTACCTTTTTTTTCCAAATCCCAAAACTTTATTTTTTGAAAAGATCAAATAACTTTCATTAAGAGAGTGTTCTTTTTATGGATTTTGAAGGGAAAGTTGGTCAATAGTATTTTGATTCCCATTAACCAATAAACCCATGTTCTTCTTTCAGATTCATGTGGGAACAGGGAAAGTTTATTTTCCAGGGTATCACTTATCCAGGTAAGTGATACACATTTCCTAGGTGGGTAAATAACTCTCCCACATAGGGGAAAGTCACTAACATTTGAATGGGATAAAAATGTCCCTTTTAATAATAAATTTTTATGACTAAAATAGTCATTTGCCTTATTTACCTTGAAAAAAAACATGTGTAAATGCATTATCCGGATAAATACATTTTTCTGGATAAATAACTAACCAAAAAGTGAACGGGGGCCTGAGTATTAAGTTTGGGCAGAAATATAATCATTAATGACAACTTTACCAATGAAAAATTATTAAAAGTTTGGACGTGGGTGATATTAAGTAATAATTTAAAAATTAATAAATTATTAAAAGAAAAATAAAATATATTAACTTTAAATAAAGTAAAAAATATAAATATAAATATTTTTTAATTATTTTCATCATATATACACATTTTTTTATAAACAATAAATAATATAACAAATTTTATAAAAATATATTTATAAATAAATAACATATATATGTAATATATATATATATATATATATTTATTTATTTATAAATATATAATATATATCATATTGGATCTTCTCGGATTGGATAGGGGTGATTCGAATTCGACCAAATAGGATTGGATCTTGGATCATATTGGATCATGATCCAATCCATTTGCACCCCTAGCTATCTTGGCCCAAGTTGCAACCCTATTCCCTACCTTTTTTTTTTTTTCATGAAGCTACGAGGTAGCCCATCCTGCTCCCTGGAAACACCCCCAACCTAGGTCTCTACTCCAACAACTCAAGGATCCTTCCAACTGAGTTGGCAGGAGAAAATAATGAATTCAAATTAGCTGAACGCAATGGTAACCTTAGCATTGGTTCCACAGGCTGCTGAACAACCATCATGTTCAATTAATCCTTGCTCGAAAAGAATACCTAGTACCCACCTTGATCCCCATTAAGGCCCATTCATTTGCTTAAGTTTGACATCTAAAAGTTCAATAATTACATTAAGAGGTATATTGGCATTTGTGGACCCTTTTTTTTTCCCTCTAAGCTATGTAGAGAATGTTGTTATGAATCCTGAAAATTGTAAAATATATACTTTAGGCTCATATATGAGAATTTTTGTTTGTATTTTCGGTATTATTGTAAAACAAAAAATTATAAGATTTTTCTTTAAAAATAAGAGATAAGAAATAAGGAAAAACAAACACATGTTTTTCTCTTAAAATTATAAAATTCTTTTTAAAAGATAAGAGTTAAGATTCCTCTTAAAAAAAAAAAAAAAACTCACTATTTATTTGGTGGGTTAGCTTTAGATTTAAGCAGTTCTCTGATCCGTCGTGTGGCGATTAATTTAGCCACGTTAGGAAATGGGTGTTTCCCAGGCACGTCATGCAATGGGCGAGTCATCGGCTATCACAATCTTAGCCGTATATTTGAAAATCATCCGATAAATCTGATAAGAAAGGTTCCCATCGAATGGCGTTGGCATATTTCCATATCCCGAACGGAAGATGTTCTCTGCCCCATTTTCTCCAGCCTGCACTAACCACCATTTTTTGGTGCTAAATTTGAGCGGGAGAAATAATAAAAAGAACACATTCTATTGTTCCTTTAGCAGCAACAACAATCAGTATTCCCCATCTCTCTCACTGTCAATGGATTTCTCCGGCGAAACCAAGACGCCTTCCGTTGTCAAGCTCAAGGCAATCGAAGCAACTCCGGCCAGTTTTGAAGAATTCGGTCAAGTGATCGAGGCATCCCCGGACGGTGACGAGTTTGGACCTCGTGATGCGCAATTAGATCTCAGTCGAGGTATTCCAAGGTACCTTTTTGAATTGTTATGCTTTCTTCGATATGCATTTTCTGACTGTTAAGCTTTCAGCTGAGACTCAATTCGTGGTCCATTAATTTTCATCTGAATTTTCCCCTTGTCTCCTATTTTCTCAGTAATGTCTTTCAGTTGTTTGGTCTTGGAATTACAAAGACGAAACTCTTGGAACTCGGAATCTTAAACCGCAATTTCATTTCACTGTTTAATTAATGCTTATGCCATGATTAGGTCCAACTAGAGCGAATATGATGATTCTGGTTATATGAACTGTTCTCTGTTCAAATGATCCAGAAATTAGTTTTAGTGATTGGATGCTTAAGACCATATGTTCTTGTCGATTTTATCCTGTTTAAGCTTCTTTATTTTCTTCATTATGGCTTACAAGAAGATTGCTGAAATAGTTAAAGTATGCCAACATCTAAGATAAAGTAACGCCCGGTTAGGAATTCTACTCTAAGAAATCTAAGATAAAGCAACTGCATAACTAGAGGCAATGAAAGCTTCTCATGAAAATCTTATTCCTATATCTTTTCAGGTTCTACATCATGCATCTCAATGACCGGCCTCTCAAGTTTTCTAATATTACTCATCATGCAAGTGTGACTCAGTGTCTCGGTTCTATTGGTGGTCATGCTTGGTTTCTTGGTGTTGCGAAGGCTTCTGTTGTAGAGTCGGGTAATATGAATGATGATGCTGGCAAGAAAGTTGTGCAGTCGAAGTGTGGTCACTATTATGTCCCTCCTGCTCCAGATGATGTGCGAGTCTTTCGAATTACAGGCTCTAAGTTTCTGAAGCTTAATGTTGGGACATGGCATGCAGGGCCCTTGTTTAAATCAGAGGAAATGGATTTCTACAATTTAGAACTAAACAATACCAATGTGAGCATCTATTTTTCTCTGTTTCCAGCTATTTCCTTTGTTCTGTCTCGGTTGTATATGTTAAAATATTGTGCATTTGTTCCCATTGTTTGCTCCTTTCTTTTTCGACATTTATTTACAAGGTTTGTTTTACAACGTTGAATCTTCACTATTTGTTGATAATTTACGAAGAAATCACACTACTAACAACTAATGCACATGATAGGATGAGACTACCACCATGCAAATTGAGAAAAAGTTTGGTAAATTGGATTCTTATGGACATTCAACTTTTTTCCACTCTTCTGTCAGTTGGTATAAGATTGATGATTCAGAAAGAAGCTCAGAGGGTTAGTTAGCAACCATCTCATCGAATTAAATTTTGGCATAGGACCACAGGTGGTTTTAGCAATCTCTTGCTACTGAGTACCCTGCCTGCCTTATGGTCAACACTATAGGTCCTTTGAATTTCTTCAGGTAGAAAGTTGGAGAGAGGCTTCAGATCTTCACGAATATGGAAGATACTGTAGAACTGAAATTACCTTCATAAGGGGATAACATGGACTATATTCTTTATAACCTTCCTTTGTGTAAAAAGTCTGTTTATTATTATTGTCAATGTGTAATGTGTTTATTTGAGAGCAGCAATTCTATGGTGCCTTTGGAGTGAAAGGAATGCAAGAATTTTTGACAAAAAGTTTAAAGACGAATACATTTTCATAGAAAATTGCATGGTAAAGACTGCTTATTGGTTGTTGATAAGAAAAAGAGTTCAAGAACCTCTCAATGGATGATATCCTAAGAATTCAAGGACCCATCAATAACCTAAGAAAAGAGTTCAAGAACCTCTCAATGAATGATATCCTAAGAGTTCAAGAGTGCATCAATACCATCTGGTTAACCCCAACGATGGAGAGACTGAAGTTAAATTGTGATGGATGTAGCCCTGGCAATCTGGGACCTTCAGGAGTAGAATCATGGAATTGTTGTCATGAGCTTCACTGGACCAATTGGGGCTGGAAACCCCTTGAGAGATGAGATTCTTGCATTCATTTGATTCCTGAAACTAGTTAACTCTTTGGGATTGTCAAACTTGATTGTAGAAGGGACTGCAAGGTAATGCTCATTTGGATGGAGAAGAAAAGTTAGGGCCCAAGGTTACTCCAAGAGACGATTTGATAATCACTATCTTTGGCATCCAAATTGATCTGCTTGTTCAAATGGATACCTGGATCAGCTAATATCTTATCTGATGCCCTTGCAAGAAAGGGAGTAACCAGAAACCAGGGAACCGGCTTCTTTGGGGAACACCAGGACCGGGGATTGATGTAATGTAAGCTTTGACTCATTTGTATCACAGTCAAGGCTGATTGTATTGTCTTCTCTCTATCCTATTTGGAGGTTGAGAAGCTTTCTTTTATTCATTAATCAAGTTCATAGTTAATGATCCAAAAAAATGCAATGTGTTTCTTTTTGATTGTCATATAATTCTAGCTATGGGAGATACTAGTGTCTTGAGGAGAGCCATCTGGTAACCACACATGGAACCTTGAGCTTCTTGTTGAATGAGGTATGGTCCTAAAATTAGTTAAAAGCCCCAGAAGATGATCAAAGTGTAGGTGGTTTACTGTTAAGTCTGCCGATCACTTGGTACAGTTCCCTAGCAATAGAACTTATGAATCAGTAGCACGGTTCAAAGTATTGACATGGTCAATACTGCGTTTTCAAGGATCGAGGCATTCAAAGCATCGATAAACTATAATCTTTACATTTTCACTGGATGCCCATCATTCCACCATCATATTCTATGTACTACCATAATTAAATGTTGTCAGAAATCTCTAATTCCTTGTCTATGGCGTATAGGAAACCTCAGAACCTATATGTATTGTACAATATGATATGATTCATTTCTGTACTTTGAACCATGATTAGTAGGGTATCAATCAAAATAGGAGCTATTTTTCCAAAACCAGCTTTCACTTGAACTTGAGGTTGTAGACAAGGTTATCCGACTTATTGCCAATTAAATGAGTTATTGCTTTATTATCCATCTCTTGTGCTATGTACATAAAATATAGTGACGACATTCCTTGCATTATAATTGTGTAATAAGCATTTTGGGCTGGCAACATGAATCAGATGATTCATCCGCGCTGTCTGGAGCCTTTCTTTAGGTTTTCTATATTCAATTCTTTTCAGTTAAGTCTATGTCTTCTTGATATTTCCCTGGTATGTTGGGCCTTCTTCTTGAATGAAGCCATTCGTTCCTATCGGTTCCATCATTGATCTTTGTGCTATGCATGTCCAAAATAATAGGCCACATTACTTTCCAATTACCTGTCCAAAAATGCCATTACCTTCCCCTTGCCAACCAAACCCTAGTCTTGTTGCCTTTTCTGACCTTTTTTTTTTACCATCAACAGATTACATGGAGATTTTATTAATTGTTAGATTTAAAAATGCCATTACCCAATGTTTCTCCCAGCTATCTTGGGAGGGGTGTACTGGATATGTACCTAACCTTTTTTATTTTTTATTTTTTTTTGTACACAAAGTGCTGTAAGAGTTGGCACATTGAGGACTTGACCAGAACTGGAAAGATAATTTGGTTCATGCTGCCTGCTACTGTCTTTTTGATAATTTTGATGGAGAGAAACAGCAGAACATTTGAAAATAAATCCTCTCAGATAGATGAAGTTATCTGAAATATGACCGCAATGATCTTTTCATGTGTAAAAGCTTCAAATCTCTGTACAGATTCCCTTTTTTGTAACACACTTTTGTTGTTTTGTGAATGCTATTACACTGTATAGTCATTCACAGTATTGGGAGATTCTCAATTTCTTTTGATGGATAACACAAATTTTATTAAAATAGGAAGAAATGAGGGAAGTGTCACCAGTCCCAACTAGTGGGAGACAGAAGTCTCTCTCTCTCCCTCTTCCCCCCCCTCTCCCCATATAGAATGCATATCTTTTGTAGACTTGAAGTATACGGATTTTTACTAAATTGATATGCAGAAATGACATGTTTTCTTTTGTAGGACACTGACATAATAAACAGAATGTAGGGTTTTCTTTTAATATGTTTAATTGTAGAACTTGGTTAAAAAATCTCATTTGTCTTAAGCTGTTTGGAGTCCTTTTGTAATAAAAAAAAAAAGAGAAAATACAAAGGAAGGTGACCAGAAGTCAAGGTTCATAGTATCAATACACCCGATGTGCATGCACTTGCATTTCAGGTCTTTGGCCTCACTACATTCTGAAAGTGGTCAAACCCCAAAACCCATTGCATTTAGCGTATTGGTACCTCAAAGATATGATATGGGACATATCATATCAATACTTTGAACCTTGCTGACAGTCTCCTGAGAAAAGAAAATCACTCCAAATCATGCAATGTCAAATTTCAAGACCTTGGGACTAACCCTAAAGAAAGACCTGCACTTTTATATAGAGATTACATCTATATATGCCTTGCATCACAGATCTTTTAATTATTTATGGCTTTAATATAATCTGCTTTTGGCACATGCAGGTTGTTGATCACACAACACATGACTTCATAAAAGAAGATGGAGTAGTTTTTTTGGTTGATGACTAATTGTATAGTTCTCAAATGCTCAAATTTTTATGGTAAAAAATAGTTCTAAACAGGTGTTTTACCTCATTTCTTCTTATGATGTGATCATATATGAATGTGATGACCTTCTGTATACCATGACATTCTTCTTCACATGGTCATATATGAAGCAACAAAATCATAAAAATCTCATCTGGATTCCGGAGTTCATAGGTTGATAGGGTTTTGTTGTGGAAGAGAAAATTTTCAGTTATTGTTATGAACTGTGATAGGGGTAGTTTAAGGGGCCGTTTGATAGCAGCTGAAGTTGCTGAACTGAATGACTATCATTTTGTCTTTTAGTGGATATTGTGGGAAAGGATTCAGTGATGTCTAATTTAAGCAAAGACACATGGCTTGCTTTGAGGCTGTAGTATACTTCTTTAAGAGGGAGAAGAGCAGAGAGATCTTGTTATGGGCCCGGGCGTAGGATCTTGTCACGGGTCGGTCCACGGGGAGAAAGCCCTGCCTTCCCTTGCGCCTTTTCTTGCGTGCAGACCCTATTGTGGAAAACCGAATGGGTGATTTGTCCAAGAGACCACCCGAATTCTTTTCACTCTCTTTCTTGACTGGAAAACTGAATGTCTTTATTTCAATTCGTAGTTCTTTAAATAGTAGATTACAGAAGGGAATTCCTTGTTGGATTCGGCTAAGCTAGGGTAATCCAAGTCAAACTTAAACTCCTAATTACCTACTCCTAATGGAAACACAATTCTTACTTAAGAAGATAAGATAAGGATAAGGATAAGGGATGAGGAATGGTGTAGCTGGCGGTGAGTTGGCGAGCAGAGCTGATGTGGTAAGATAAGTGTGGACCCACCTTGATGAGTTGTCATGTGGGCTCTGCTCTACTGTTGCTGCCGGGCGGTGCGCGCGTCTCGCAGTGCTGCTGCGTGCTGTCGGGTGGTGCATGCTGCATGCTGCGTGCTGCCGAGCAGTGCGTGTTGCTGCCTATGACTACGCCGCAGTGCGTTGTCGGGCGATGTGTTCATAACAGATCTGCCCTTTCATGCATGTTTTGGCCAACCCATTATCACAGTTGAGAAAGATAAGCAATGGTTTCAGTTTGGTCAAAGAGGAGAGGAGGCTTTTTACCTCTTCCACTCTCTCTCCCATGTCTTGAAACTGTAAGGGAAGATAAGTGTTTCAAACACGAAGATAAGCTATGGGAGTATATGATAACTAAAAGGCCAACATTCTCTTGTTTCTACTAAGCTTACTCTCAACTTCGAAATAAGAACTGGGTTCTCTGTTTCTGGTATGGCATTCTTGAGTATGGCATCCTCGTTATATCAGAAGGCAGTGATTGGTCATGATGCAGTCTCTCCTTTGTCTTTGAAACAGTAAATGTTGAGGAATGAACAATCATAAGATAGAACCCAGAGCAGTGAGGGAGACCAAATCAGCCCCCCCCCCCACCCCACAACGTCCCACAGCACATCCCGCCGTGAAACGTTGTGGGGGGGCTGATTTGAACTCAGTGTGAGGACAAGACAATAATTAAAATTTAAAAAGAAGTGGGTAAGACAACTCTATCGTTCTCACCACGTTGAAATTGGTTGAGATATTATTTTGATCTGATAACATTGTTAATGTATTTCTTTTTCTCCGCTATTATCTGTGCAATCGACTGAGATAAGGAGGCCCTAGCACACTGAAATAAATACAGTGAAGCTATGTAGAAGAGTACAGCCTCTAGATATGTAGTTACTGTCCGTTAAATGTTTTTATATAAGAATATGGGAAGAGAAATGAAAAACATACTGAACCCATCCTTTCCTGGTCCTCTTTTGGACATGTCACCCTATACAACTGCACTTTATATAGGCTGAGAAAGCAGGGATGGTCAGCTTGTGGATCGGAAATAGAAAAGAAAAGAAAAAACCCAGTTCTTATAGACTTACTTGATAAAACAAGTTTCTATTGCCGTGGACTACGCCTAGGGATGCTCACATATTATATCTTATTGTTCACGTATGATAAATAAAATAAATGGATGTATGGTTAAAGTTGAATGGTAGATGAATTGCTTTTATACATGTGATTCACAGAACAAAGCTAACAATATGTTGAATCCAAAAATTGAACCATGAACAAATGGTTTTATGTGATCTAGAACATAACCACAATTATATATGATAGTTCAAAACAAATATTTTCATTTTTAAAAAGAGGTGGTATGGTTGTGAAATTACAAAGATCCCAATGTCTTATGGGATCAGTGACAAATACCTCCCAAAGACCCTTTTAAATGTCAAATCAGCAGACAAAAGGTACTAAATTATCAAAATGCCCTTTGTGTAATTCAAGGGACGTGAAAATAAAATTTTTTAAATGATGAATATGGGCAAAGCCATTCCCCCCTTTTGTTTATTTTTCACCCATTTTCTATTTTCTCCTAAACCCAAACTCACACAAATATAATGTCAGAGAAGCATTCGACAAGGATCCTACATTGCTATTCGCTTGAAATTGTTGCTACTACCTCACCAGTAAAGAGCTGTTTAGCAAATTATTGTCGAATATAGAAGAATTTCTGGAGAAACCAAAAGAATCATTCATATTTTTTACGCCATCACCAAGGCATTTTTTTTTGTTGTTGCAAGAGAAGAAGAACCTATGGACACATATGTCATGCCAGCTATTTTAATCATATGAAAACTAATATTTTCAAGAATTGCTCGTTATCAAAGTATAAATGAAGGGGTAAAATCCTTTGAATAAATAATAAAAAGTACAATTTTGGAATTTAAAGTTCTTTAAACACCCAAATGAGAATCTTTTGACAAGGTTTTAACCAATGTTTTAAAAACTAATTTGGAATGGAGCCGTTCTGGCCATCGGTTTTTGAGTCAATGATTTAATTGTTTAGTTCGAACAGAAGGCCCATTCTAACAAAAAAATAAATAAATAATGATCAAAAACTATTGAATAAATTGACGGTCTGACTATCCAGGTCAACGGATTGTTGACCAATTCAACGATTCTTAGTTCAAGATAAACGAAACAAATTACCTAAGTGATTCCCAAACCGAACGATTCAACCAGATCAACAACGGTTAGAAAACATTGGTTTTAACAAAATGGGGTCTTTATCACAACATAAAATCTTTTGACAAGGTTTTTACAAAATGGGGTCTTTATCACAACATAAAAGTAAGTTGAGGGGGTTTGTTGCAAATGAAAGTATTAGGGTATTTGTTACTGACGCATAGTACATGGGTCTTTATAAGTTATCAATTTTTTACCACTTAATTTTTTTTTTTTTTTTTTAAACAGGAGCGGGCACGAATTCACATCACATAGTCCTCCGTTCCACCATTCTAACAGGGCTTAAACAAATTCATAAAAAATTAAAAGAATAGAACTGGACCGTCACTCAGACTGCGATTGACAGTCTTTCTCCCAAACCAATAGTTTTTCACATGTAAGAACTAAGAACTAGGAACAGAAAGAACAGGCTCGCAGCCCCGGTTGAACCAACCGGACAATCTGGTCGGGATTTCAATGCATTGACTCATGTGCCATTTCACTTGTCACGTGCAATCACCAGAGCTTCAAGAAAGTCCTCACATACACCTATTAACTATTAAATATTTTATTGGGTTCGATTAGATACCGGAAATATATGATATCTGAAAATTTTGTGGCCAATCAATCGATATCATAAAATCAGTTGATATTAAATATATATCTCCGCATCAATTTTTTTTTATTATTATTAGGGTAAAAGACTAAAACCTTTCTGAATAGAATAGAGGGTTCAACTATGATACGGAAAAGATATAATATCCGAAAAGCAGCTAATCAATCAATTTGAATCATAGATTTGGTAGCGAATCAGGTTTTATTTATCAAAATTCATAGGTAGATTTTGATTGATCAAAATTCTTTCCATATCATAAATTTTTCCTTGGATATTTCATCCAAATATTGAAACATTCTTTTATTTTTCAAATTGGACTTAGACCTCCACTCTCATAATTATAAGCTGTTATCTTTAACATAAAAAGTAATTTGACCAATATAGCCCAGCTTAAATTTGGGACTAAAACCACTTTACAGATAATAGTTGAAGAGATCCTCAGAGTTGACTTGGAAGAAACCGCTCCATATTTGTTTGTATATTTAAAAAAAAAAACCTGTCCAGAAAAATTAAAAAAGATATTTAATTTTCAAAGAAGAACGGACAAATTTATTGTAAATTTCTGATTTCCACTACAGAGCTATAAATATTTAAAATGTCAAAAACCCTCACTCTATACACCAACCTGTGGATTAATATCGATTCTAAGCTGGCACCCACCCCAACTGTAATTTAGGCCTAAAAATCGTCATTCTCTTTTAATTTTTTATAAATAAGGTCTTTTGTCTAAATTTGCTTTTGATCGGTGAGGAGAAGTTTATATTTAGATAAAATTAAGACAAACAGGTTTGTATCCGCTAATATTATTTAATAGGGGAGTTTAAGTCCAATTTGAAAAAATGAGAGGATGTTTCAACATTTAGGTGAAATTTCAGGTTTTAGACTTTTACCCTTATCATACAATACAAAATTACAAACTTCAGTGGTTAAGTAACGGCGCAAAGAATAATTAAAAATGATTAACATGTTCAAAATTTTGTAGGAGCGGAGACACCGGTCTGACTAACAAGGAACAAGACTTCCAGCCCTCAATATCCTGTCCGTCCCTCATCCCCTTTACCTGACGTCTCACCAAAATCTAAGCAGATATTCCCACTCCAGACCGGTTACTCTGCACCATTGTTGATTCCTTTTTGTCCATTATTTAGAAATTATTGATTTCTCAAAAACTAGTATTTTTTTGTTGTTTGATACCATTCCTGCCATTTAAGTGAGAAAATTCATGAATGGATTTGTTTGGTAGTGATTATCATAAGCGATTTTTAATCGCTGAATCATTATCTCCATCGTAAATGTTAGATGCTACGTCATCGTTGTGGAAAAATCAGAATCGTTTGATAATTGAGGAATCATAAAAAAATGGTGATTTTTCATCGAAACCAATTTCATTAATCGATTATTCAACGATTTCTCAAAAATTGCTGAGATCAGCCAAAGTGATTCCGGAATCACTAATGCGGCTCTAAAGTAACAACAATTTTTGAAATCACCCGTTCAACTCCTGAATCAAACTGAGTCGAGCTGAATATCTAA